TCCCAAAGTGTTGGGATTACAGGCGTGAGCCACCACGCCCAGCCCAAGATTGATTTTATTCTTTGGGGATCAAGTGAAATACCCTGTCCTGGAATTAGATGTCCTAAATATTTCACTTGTGAGAGAGAAAGTTGTAGCTTCTCTTTTGAAGCTTTATGGCTTTTAGTGGCTAATTTCTTTAATCAACAGTGGCTGTCCTCTATGGAGGCCTTTAAGGTAAAGGAACAAAGTAATAAGTCATCCACATATTTCACGAGAACAGAATGCAAAGGAAATGCCAAATCTGCTATGTCTGTTTTTAAGACTTGGGAGAAGTATTTGGGACTATCAGCATACCCCAGAGGCATTACTGTCCAGGTATATTGTTGTCCTTTCCATGTTAAGGCAAAAAGATACTGGCTAGCTGGATCAACCAGGATGATTTGAAAGAAAGAAAGAAAGAAAGAAAGAAAGAAAGAAAGAAAGAAAGAAAGAAAGAAAGAAAGAAAGAAAGAAAGAAAGAAAGAAAGAAAGAAAAGCACTGCAGAGGTCAATCACAGTGAAAACCTGACTACCTGGTGGTATGGCTGATAGTAATGTATGCAGGCTAGGTACAACAGGATGATGGGGTATTAAAATGTTATTGATGGCTCTTAAGTCCAGGACAGATCTCCATCCCTGGTTATTAGTTTTTTGTACTCATAGAATGGGGGTATTACATGGGCTAGTGCATGGAATGGTTAGTCCCTGCTTGAGGTAGTCCTCAATAATTAGTTTGATTCCCTGAATGGGTTCCTGGCATAAGGGAATCTAATTGTTTAACATTTGGAAGTCTTTTTGTTTCATCTATTTGTGTGTTAATTGGTTGTGCTGAATGAAAATAGCCAATATCTGTGGTGCATTTGGACCATAAGTTTTCAGAGTAGAGAGGAAGTAGGTCTTGAAATGTTTCACTAAGTGATATTTTCTCCTTGTTTTAAAGAACTGAAAATATAGAGATGGAAAGTACAGAGAGTTCCTCGAGGGTTCCCTCTATAGCAGTTTTTTTCCAGTAGTAATTGCATTTCCCTCTTTTGGAAGAAAGAAATGTGAGTTTTGTGGGCTTCCAGAAAAATTTCAGCCAATTAAGTGAATGAGAGCTGAAGGGACTAACAAACTGATAAGGGCCCTGGAGTTCCCCAAGTCAAAAGGCTATGGGAAAATGGCCTCTTTCACTGCAATTGGGGACTCATCTTGTCTGTGCAAAGATCTGCTGGGCCACTGGCACATAGTCTTCTGGATCCAGGTCCCTTGTCAGTGTTCCCACACAGTCCCAGTACCCTCCTTGGATCTTCTCCAGGTCCATCTGGAAAGCCCCATCAACCTTGGAGTCCTCATGAGACTAATGACAAGCCTGGGCCCAGAGTGTCTTCTAGTGCTGGGACAGCTGCAGTAATCACAGCCTAAGGCCTAAGGGAACACATCAGTCAGTCTGCTTAGAATCCCTGGAAGGACCTCTGAAGAAGGACAGGGACAGATAAAGCCAGATTGTGAAGACTAAAATAAATACCTAATCCCTCAATGTGCAGACATCATTGCATCTACATAGGCATCAAGAGCATTTAGGGAAATATGAACTCACCAAACAGACAAAATAAGGTAACAGAGATTGACCCTAAAGTGATGGAGACGTGTAATCTCTCCAACAAAAAATTCAAAATAGTTGTTTTAAGGAAGTTCAATGAACTTCAAGAAAACACTGAAAATCCATTCAAAAATGTATCAGAGAAGCTTAACAAAGAGATTGAAACAATAAACACAAAAATTAAACAGAAATCCTGGAGCTACAAATTACAATAGATGAAATGAAAAATGCAATAGAAAGCATTAACAGCAGAATTCATCGAACAGAAGAACCAGTGAGCTTGAAGACAGATTATTTGAAAATATAGTCAGAGGAGAAAAAAGAAAAAAGAAATGAAAAGGAATGAACAAAGTATATGGGATCTATGGGACAACATCAATATTTTCCAGGATGTTGTGGTTGGCAGTTGTACAGTTTGGCCCAGTTCAAGGGTTCAAGGCAAGTTCTTGATTTTTGTATGTGGAAGTTTATAGGATATGCAGGCAGTCCTTCTTAGAATGACTTTGCACAGCCATATGGTGTAATGGAATAGTTATACATTCTGGATTCAGAAAATGGAGGTTCAAATTCTAGCTATACCACTTCTCCAACCTTGTGACCATAAGCAAATCATTTCACCTTTCCAATAAATTTCCTTTTCTGTGAAAGAGGACTATGGTAATATATCATCAATTTTGATAAGAATTAAACAAGACAAAGTATGTGAAAGTATTGAGGTTATTAGAGGTTATACAAGTGTTTGTCATATATGTGTTATATAAAATACATATGTGTTAGAACCATTTATATATAATTATATATATAATTATATATTTATATATAATGAAAATTAGAATATATACACATTTAATACATGATCAGTATATGTTAGATTGTATTAAATGTTTGCTTTGCACAAGTTTTTCAATTCCTACTTAATAATACATGTAATCACGTGTATTTCCAAAACCAGCTACCATTTCATCATTACTCTTATTTCTGCCTGACAGTTTTTCAGCTGCTTTTCCCCCTTTATAATATTTTGTGGGCTTTCTGTTAATGCAGTAGGATTTGTAACCAAATGCTCACAGATTCGCATTCCTTTTTCAACAGGTGGGTGCACTCAGTCCTGGGATTCCAGGAGTGTTTTTAGTAGTCAGTGAGTCTCACTAAAACCTGAGGGTCTTCTCCCAGGCTGGGCACCCAGCTGCCTTTTTCTATTTTTGGAAGGACCACAGAAAATCTCCTGTCAAAAGTTTAAAACTTTCCACTGCCTGTAAATAGGGTGATTCATCCCTTGTAAAATATAACCTGGTTTGATTACATATAACCTCACTCTGACATATCCTTCAGCTTTTTAAAAATTGCAGCTGTCTTGCTATAAGGTGTCCCATTGCATATTTCATTTGTATTATTAGGCTATAAATCAGCAACAAAACAGAGAGATGCTCTTAAGAGAGACATTCTTCTTTTTAAGAGTGTTCTAAGAAAAAGGCATTGCCTTTGTATAGTTAAAGTGATTACCTTGCCGGTGAGCTACACTATTTAAAGGAAGCCCCCATAGGGAATGTATTAAAGAAGATACTCAACATTGAAAGAAACTAATCTTTGAGGGTTTGTAAAGATTAAATGTAGGAAAATATAATTTTCAAAGCTTAAAAACATTCCTAAATCACACATTTCAGAAGTACTCTTTTTTTTAACAGGTATAAAACGTAATTTAGTGAAATAGGAAAGACTTAGTAGTTAGATTTAAATATATTGGTTGTCTGATTCACAAATCTTGTTGAGGAAATTAACAAAATGGAAGCAAATCACAGCAATTAAATGGATCAAAATTGGCCTCATCTCCCCACCACCAGAATTTACCATTTTTATATATTGTTATAGATTTGTACATATACATAGAATTATTTTGGCTTTTATTTATGTAAATGTCAGACTATAAACATCATTTAAGCAACTTCATTTTTTTTCACTCAGCAATGCTTTTTTTAAACAAGCATTAAATGTTTTTAAGATGTACCCATTGTTTCTGTCTCACAACTGTTACAGTAAATGAGTCTATGATTCTAAGTCTTTGTTTGTTTGTTTGTTTAAAGCCAGCCTCAGGTTTGCTAAATCCCAGTTTGCTTTTGACATTACCAGAAATAAAGGAGGAAGAAACTAACTCCATTGCTTGGCTTTATTCCAAGAGCACTTCACTACTAATCTTAAGGAGAGATTAGCCAACAAAAGTGAAACGTGGATCTGAAGCAATATTCCTGATATGTAATTTAATCCTCAAAACTACTTTGTTCTGAACAACCAGATACTTAAGAAATGGATTTGTTCTGCCTTGGATTTCCAGCTAGTTCCTCCTAGTTTATCTCACTGATGGATGAATTAGTTCATCCACCCATTCAATGAGTTTTTATTAACTGTCAGCTAAATGCACAGCACTGCATTTAACAAGTTGTTTTAGTTTTGATTGTGAAGAACTAATTTTGTGAAGGCCATCTTTATTCTTTTTATGTCATCTTTACATATTACAGGATGTACTTCCTAAATCCTAGTTACCTTTCCCAACCACTATGAACCAATAACTCAAACAAGGTGGTAGAGAAAATATAGGTGCTACCACGGATTTAGCTGTTTGTTCTACAGTTCCACCAAATCTTCAAGATGTATCCTATACTTCAAAAAAGATACATACCTTAAAATTAGAATTCCTGCTAATACTAAGTCCACAGAGGTTAAATTCGTTATTCTAGAGTCACAGGGCAAGTAATTGTGAGTACAATGTTTGCAATCAGATGTAGGTTAGATCAACAATATCCTGCTACTGAAATATGAAAGTTTTAAGCCCTTATAAACGCTGAGCTATTTTATCACAAGAATTTCATTTTCAGCATCTGGTTTGTGCAAAATCAACGTTAATTATATTTATAGATTATTTGGGGTGTGGATTTTAAGATCTTTTTTAAAGTCAGGAAATAAATTCCCAGACCATCCAAAATGAATTTGTGCTTATTTGGGCTTGTTTGTTGCTAAATTCATTTAGGCACAATGTAGATTGAAGATCTCTCTGATCTTTTTCCTGGAGTGATGCCTTGACTTTCATAGATAGCAATACACTTTTACCTAGCAATAAAGCAGAACCCATCTGTTTTCATATTTACCAACAAGAGATTGTAAATAAAACCAATGAGGTAAAGGGCCCTGTTTTAATTTTACTAGACTCTGTTTAATTAGAGTTTCTTCTGTTCTAAGCTATGGCTTTTCATAATGGTCAGGTTAACTTCACATTTAAGAGAGTGAGATTCTGAGCCATTGATGAGCTCAAATTTCAAGTTTCTCTTTTTCTGTGTGGTAGACAAACATTGTTTCCTTACTGGTATTTTATCTGTGACTCCGAATGACTGAATACTCAAAGAACTTTAAGGTACATTCTACATGATTTTTTGTGTGTTTTGGTTTTTAGGTGTCTGATCAGCAACAGGTTCCATCATGTGCCCTCCCACAGAGTCTCAAAATCTCAGGGCAATTCCTTTGAGTTGAGTTGCTGTCTCAGGGCTGAGCAGCATCCATCATGAGACAAACACCATGTTGTTGAGGTAGACTCATACCTGGAGATCTGCCCAGTGAAAAACAGACTCTGCTTAGATTGTCCAGTGCATTCTCACCAAAGGCAAAGTCGCTGTGTTTTTCTTCTAAGGCTGTTAGGATGATTAAACAAATGGGCGAAAGCCCACTGAAAACACTACAATAAGGTATCATACCTCATGCTTAGCTGATACCTAGCCTGCACTGGTTTTGTTATTTAAATATTAACGTAATTCCACACTGATTGGTAAATAGCTGCTGACTTCCAACATCTAACAACCAAGGAGTTTACACCCAGTCCAACAAGGAGGGCCTCTGATTCTGCTCCATTCTGATTGGCTCCCAATTTTAGTGATTATGTTTTAATGTCCTTCCTGCCCAAAACAAAGGTGAAAATAAAAGTGAATGAGGCCAGACACGGTGGCTCATACCTGTAATCCCAGGACTTTGGGAGGCTGAGAGGGGTGGATCACCTGAGGTCAGGAGTTCAAGACCAACATGGCCAACATGGTGAAACCCCATCTCTACTAAAATTACATCAAGTTAGCTGGGCGTGGTGGCGGGCACCTGTTATCCCAGCTACTTGAGAGGCTGAGGAGGGAGAATCACTTGAACCCGGGAGGTGGAGGTTGCAGTGAGCCGAGATTGCACCATTGCACTCCAGCCTGGGCAACAAGAGCGGAAACTCCATCACACACACACACACACACACACACACACACACACACACACACACAAATTAGTCAGGCATGTGACCGGCGCCTGTACTCCCAGCTACTTGGGAGGCTGAGGCAGGAGAATCGCTTGACCCAGGGAGGCGGAGCTTGCAGTGAGCTGAGATGGCGCCACTGCACTCCAGCCTGGGCGACAGGGCGAGACTCCATCTCAAATAAAAAAAAAAAAAAGGAATGAAACAACAAATGTATACACAAACAGACTGTGGTTTACAAATATCACTTTTAGCTCCTAATGCTGAATAACAAATTATCCTGAAAGCTAGTGGATTAAAATAACAATATTTTGCTCACAAGTCTACAATTTGCGCATACTTGGCGGAGCAGCTTGTTGCTGTTCCAGTTGGTGTTAGCCAGGGTAGCTCGATGGTTGGTGTAATGGTTAATTTTATGTGTCAATTTAGCAAGGTCATGGGACCCAGATATTTGGTTAAACACCAGTCTGGATGTTGCTTTGAAGGTATTTTTTAAATGAGATTAACATTTAAATAAGTAAACTCTGAGTAAAGTAAATTATCCTCCATAATGTGGGTGGGGCTCATCCAATCAGTTTCTTAAGTAAAAACACACTGAGGAAACAGAAGAGAGGATTCTGCCAGCAGATTGCCTTTGGACTTAAGCTGCAACATCAACTTCCATGGGTCTCCGACTTGCTGGTCTACCCTGTAGATGTCAGACTTGCCAGCCTCTGTAATCATGTGATAACTTCTCTGGAGGACCCTGACTAAGACAGCTGGGAACTGGAATAATCTGAAGTCCTTACTCCATCACATGTCTGGTGGTTAACACTAGAAAGACTTAAACAATTGGGATTAGGACTACCTGGGGCTTCTTGGGCATCTCCATCTCATAGTCTTCCAGGATGGCAGCTTCAGGTGAACTTTTTTCATGTCAGATCAGGATTCCAAAGGCATTTGTCCCTAGAAAGAGAAAACAGAGCAGAATCTGAATTTTTTTATGACTTAACTTCTGAGGTCACATTGTATCATTCATGATGTCTTCTATTGGTTGAGGCCTTTACAAATGTCCACCCAGATTCAGGAAGAGGGAACTCAGACCCCATCTCTCAATGCAGAAATGTCAACATCACATTATAAGAAAAACATGTGGGATGAAATATACTGGTGCAGCCATCTTTGAAAAATACCATCTGCCTCACTAATGTTTTCAAATTCTAAAACATATTTTCTATTTATTTAGGGTTACTAATGCTTGATGCTCTGCTTTTTGAGTAGATCCACTCGTTAACCATTCTTTTTTTTTCTTTTTTTCACTGTAAGTGGTTATTTTATTATCAGAGAGATGTATACTTGAAAAACTTAATTTCCAGTTTTTAATTCCCCTAAATTTTTTATTTATTTATTTACTTTTGAGATAGTGTCTCACTTTGTCGCCTAGGCTGGAGTGCAGTGTTGCAATCTCGGCTCACTGCAACCTCTGCCTCCCAGTTCATGCAATTCTCCTGCCTCAGCTGGGAACCACCAGGCCCGGCTAATTTTTGCATTTTTAGTAGAGACGGGATTTCCCCATGTTGCCCAGGCTGGTCTCAAATTCCTGGCCTCAGGTGATCCCACCCACCTCAGCCTCCCAAAGTGCTGGGATTACAGGTGTGAGCCATTGCACCTGGCCATAATTCCCCTAAATTTTAGTATCTTGATTTTTTTTCTTAAAGTCACACAAAGTAAGTTCAATGTAAAACTAAGAAGTTTTCATGTGCCCCTTAAGGCTACAAAACTGTTTTATAAAAGAACATGTAATGAGAATGCAATTAACGAAATTGCCATCTAAGACAATTTAATCGTTTGGCTTGAGTGAATCCCAATTTGGACAATGTTAGCATTATCTTCGAGTCTCTTTTTACTTAGAACCAGCTGTTCTGCTTTTCCAAGCCTCTTTCTCTGGTAGGAATTTAGGTAGAGGAGGGGCTGGGTTGAGGCAAGAAGATGACCTCTCTTGGTTGGTATGAAAAAGTAGCTTAGAGCCAGGATAGGTAGAGTTGATTCTACCCTACCATTCCCAAGGGGGTAGTTACTTCTTACGGGAACTGCTGCTAATTTACCTTCGAGGTAGTTGCTGCTATTTTTTCTTAGATATAAATTTTGGCTTAAACTTTCAAAAACATAACAACTATACTTGTCTGTTCAGTGTTACAAAGAGGAAAAGTTTCTTGAGCCTCAAATCAGTGGGATATCATTTCAACTGAGTGAAGTTATTTTCTTGTAACCTTTATGCCTCCTTCTTGGCTGTTCTTTCGCCCATTCCCCACATGTATATTAAAATTCCTATTAATTATTTTTATTTAAAAAATTTGTTATTTAAGATTTTGAAAATAAAAAAGCTACAAAGATAATAATACACTCATCTGTGTATCCACACCTAGCTTAAGAAATCAAATGTTACCAACATAGTTGAAGCTTCCTATGTTCACCCTTACCACATAGTAATCTCTTCTGCTCCCTCAGGAGGTAATCGCTTTTCTGAATTTAGTATTTTTTATTCCTGAGCACTTAAAAATCTTTTACTACATTTGTCTATGTTCCTAAATAATCTATACCAGTACTGTGCATGCTTTTAAGCTTTATGGAAGTGGAACATACTATATATATCCATCTGCAAACTGCTTTTTATTTTTATTTTTTGAGATGGAGTCTCGCTCTGTCACCAGGCTGGAGTGCAGTGGCACGATCTCGGCTCACTACAACCTCTGCCTCCCAGGTTCAAGCGATTCTCCTGCCTCAGCCTCCCGAATAGCTGGGATTACAGGCACCCACCACCACACCCAGCTAATTTTTGTTTTTGTTTTTGTTTGTTTGTTTGTTTTTGAGATGGAGTTTTGCTCTTGTTGCCCAGGCTGGAGTGCAATGGTGGGATCTTGGCTCATGTCAACCTCGGCCTCCCGGATTCAAGCAATTCTCCTGTCTCAGCCTCCTGAGTAGCTGGTACTATAGGCATGCACCACCACACCCGGCTAATTTTTTGTATTTTTAGTAGAGATGGGGTTTGTCCATGTTGGTCAGGCTGGTCTCAAACTCCCGACCTCAGATGATCCACCCACCTCGGCCTCCCAAAGTTCTGGGATTACAGGCGTGAGCCACTACGTCTGGCCTGCAACGTGCTTTTTAAAAATTATATTTATGTGATTGTGAAAATGGCCATACTTCCCGAGGTAATTTATAGATTCAATGCCATCCCCATTAAGCTACCAATGACTTTCTTCACAGAATTGGAAAAAACTACTTTAAAGTTCACATGGAACCAAAAAAGAGCCCACATTGCCAAGACAATCCTAAGCCAAAAGAACAAAGCTGGAGGTATCATGCTACCTGACTTCAAACTATACTACAAGGCTACAGTAACCAAAACAGCATGGTACTGGTACCAAAACAGATATATAGACCAATGGAACAGAACAGAGGCCTCAGAAATAATACCACATATCTACAACCCTCTGATCTTTGACAAACCTGACAAAAACAAGAAATGGGGAAAGGATTCCCTATTTAATAAACAGTGCTGGGAAAACTGGCTAGCCATATGTAGAAAGCTGAAACTGGATCCCTTCCTTACACCTTATGCAAAAATTAATTCAAGATGGATTAGAGATTAAAATGTTAGACCTAAAACCATAAAAACCCTAGAAGAAAACCCAGGCAATACCATTCAGGACATAGGCATGGGCAAGGACTTCAAGTCTAAAACACCAAAAGCAATGGCAACAAAAGCCAAAATTGACAAATGGGATCTAATTAAACTAAAGAGCTTCTGCACAGCAAAAGAAACTACCATCAGAGTGAACAGGCAACCTACAGAATGGGAGAAAATTTTTGCAATCTACTCATCTGACAAAGGGGTAATATCCAGAACCTACAAAGAACTCAATCAAATTTACAAGAAAAAAACAAACAACCCCATCAAAAAGTGGGCAAATGATATGAACAGACACTTCTCAAAAGAAGACATTTATGCAGCCAACAGACACATGAAAAAATGCTCATCATCACTGGCCATCAGAGAAATGCAAATCAAAACCACAATGAGATACCATCTCACACCAGTTAGAATGGCGATCATTAAAAAGTCAGGAAACAGGTGCCAGAGAGGATATGGAGAAATAGGAACACTTTTACACTGTTGGTGGGACTGTAAACTAGTTCAACCATTGTGGAAGACAGTGTGGCGACTCCTCAAGGATCTAGAACTAGAAATACCATTTGACCCAGCCATCCCATTACTGGGTATATACCCAAAGGATCATAAATCATGCTACTATAAAGACACATGCACACGTATGTTTATTGCAGCACTATTCACAATAGCAAAGACTTGGAACCAATCCAACTGTCCATCAAGAACAGACTGGATTAAGACAATGTGGCACATATACACCATGGAATACTATGCAGCCATAAAAAAGGATGAGTTCACGTCCTCTGTAGGGACATGGATGCAGCTGCAAACCATCATTCTCAGCAAACTATTGCAAGAGCAGAAAACCAAACACTGCATGTTCTCACTCATAGGTGGGAATTGAACAAAGAGAACCCTTGGACACAGGAAGGGGAACATCACACACCAGGGCCTGTTGCGGGGTGGGGGAAGCAGGGAGGACTAGCATTAGGAGATATACCTAATGTAAATGACAAGTTAATGGGTGCAGCACACTAACATGGCACATGTATACATACGTAACAAACCTGCACATTGTGCACATGTACCCTAGAACATAAAGTATAATAAAAAAATAAAATAAATAAAAATTATATTTATGTGATACATCCTTAAACTTATTTTCACTGTTTCTTGGTCTTTCATTATATGAATATTCCTCAGTTTACTACCCATTCTTCTATTGATGGCCATGTTATTTCCCATTTTTGCTATTATAAACGATGCTTCTGTAAAATTCCTGGTACTTGTCTCCTTGTGCACCTGGGTGAGTTTCTTATGGCAGTGAACCATTTAATCCAAGTCTGCAGTGAGATAAGAAGTTTGTGTAAGAATATATATCATCATACTGTCTCCTTCATTAAGGAAGTCTTATCTTAAAAAATGTCAGCTTAGCTGGGCGTGGTGGCTCATGCCTGTAATCCCAGCACTTTGGGAGACCAAGGCGGGTCAGGAGATCGAGACCAGCCTGGCTAACATGGTGAATCCCCGTCTCTACTAAAAATATAAAAAGTTAGTCGGGCGTGGTGGCAGGCACCTGTAGTCCCAGCTAGGAGACTGAGGCAGGAGAATGGCGTGAACCCGGAAGGCGGAGCTTGCAGTGAGCCAAGATCACGCCGCTGCACTCCAGCCTGGGTGACAGAGCGAGACTCCATCTCAAAAAAAAAAAAGTCAGCTCGTCCCTAAATAGTATGTTTAGGGACATAGTTGATTTACATCCTTGCATGAGCTCTTTATCTTATTGGTCTAGTAACAAAGAGTTTGAGAATGTGGACTATTTTGAATGAAATTGTTGGGTCATGGGCATATCTTCAATTTTACTGCGTATTTCCAAAATGTTTTATAAAATCATTGTACCAACTTACACAGCCATCAGAAGTGAATTAAAAACTCCCATTGTTTCACATCTTTGCCAACATGTAATATCATTAGACCTTTTAAATTTTGCAAATCTGGATATAAAGTTTGGCTTAAACTCTGATAAAAGCATCAAGTGGCTTCTCAGTATGGTTTTATTTTCTCTTTCCTTGATTGTTAATGATATAAAGCATCTTGCCATTTTTCAGAAACTGGTTTTTAGGCTGGGCATGGTGGCCACTCATGCCTATAATTCTAGCACTTTTTTTTTTTTTTTTTTTTTTTTTTTTTGAGACGGAGTCTCACGCTGTTGCCCAGGCTGGAGTGCAGTGGCGCAATCTCGGCTCACTGCAAGCTCCGCCTCCCGGGTTCCCGCCATTCTCCTGCCTCAGCCTCCTGAGTAGCTGGGACTACAGGCGCCCGCC